TTTTATAGGAAGCCAATGTAGGGACTGACAGAAGGGTGAGGCATGGGAGGTGCGGGCTGACAGGAAGATGAGCTTTGTCATGACCAGTGCAATATCCAGACATGAACCCAATTGAAAACCTCTAGAGTGTGATCAAGAGGGTAGATGGATGGTCACAAGTCATCAAATAAAGCTGAGCTGTGTGGTTTCTTGTACCAAGAGTGGCACAAAGTCACCCAACAGCTATGTAAAAGACGGCGGTTAGGATGCCAAGACGCATGAAAACTGTGATTGGAAATCTGAGTTACTCCACCAAATATAAACTTATTTTCCTTGCATTATTTTGACTAATTTTGATTTTCTGCAATAAATTGCTTAAAGTGACAATATTTACATTTGGAATTTGGGAGACATTTTGTCAGTAGTTCAGAGAGTAAAACATTCTACTCAAACACATACCTATAAATAGTAAAACCAGAGAAACTGATTTCTGACTGTTTTTCAGTGGTCTCTTTTTCCAGAGCTGTATATATGTATGTTGCAGAACCCCTAGTATTGAGTGATGCATATGAAAGTAACAGATAATGCAATTTGTATTGTATCACACATCTCAAAATAATGTGCAGTGCGCATGAGTGCATTGCAGAGATCCACCATCATATGCTCTGTGTATAAATATAAATTAGAAAGGAGCACACTAAAGCACATATAAATGTGTGGTGTGTCTGAGTGTCCACAGTAATGTACTATGTATCTTCGGTATCACAGATCACTAGAGCAGTAAACACCAAACTAATATGTTGGGAGTAATTCTTGAGTAAAATGTTCGCTCAGTGTGACAGACAACATATATCCAATACCAGGTGTATGAGTCATAACTCCGTACTTACATAGTTCTGTGGACTTGCCAAATTAATTAGAATTAGTGTATACCCACCTCCAAATATGATCAACTGATGTGTACCTAAAAGAACACCACTCGGTCCTCTCTTGGCTAAGGGAGACTTCTGCAGTGTCAATCCAGAAAGCCATCTTTAGAAAGAAAGATGTCTCAGTAGCAATAAGTGAATGCTGCAAATGATCAGCTCACTTGTAAGAAAGACTATAGTCCAAATTTACTCCTCTAGGTACAAAGACACCGAGCTATTGGTTAAAGACAAACTTTTCTTTTCAGTAACATGGCAAATACATAGACAGGGTGAATCATCAGGAGTGTGTAAAGTAATCATCCGTTGCCTAGGAAACAATGTAGCTTATCTGGGTACTGCAATTCTGTCCTTCTGGAGAACACAAGCGAGATACACAAAGCATTTGCTGTAACCAAAGCCCGTTGGTTACATCCAATAACAACATGTCTGCTTACCTTGGGAGGATGTAAATAAAGACACTGTAGATGGGCTGTGCTTAACAAAGAGTAGTTATGGTAGGATCGCATAAGAAGGTGGCTATCTGGCCTTTGTCTTCTCAAGTTCTAAGGCCAGGTGCTGAGCGCATTGCTAATTGCTCTACATTGTACAAATTGCCCACTACACAGATTGTACTCACTTAGATAATTTACCAACTTACGTAGATGTAAACAGGACCGTCATCAAGGGGGTAGAGCCAATACAGCCTGGTCCTTATACTCTCAATGTGTGTGTGTAACGGATCACCTGGCACCCCGACTGGGTACCTCCGTTAAAGGATGCTCCTAGCGCTTCCTGAGGACTCCAAACACTGCAGCAGACACCACAACCACCGAACCGGAGAAGCATACGAATCCTCTCAAGCATATGAATGCTGTAGACAGTTGAATAGGAACCATACGAATAGGTTTACTCTCCTAGCAGTCAAACTGGAACAGCATACAATAAATCCTTCCCCCAATAATGAGACGACACTTCACTTTGAGGGTTAAAACAGGAACTCCCTGTACTGTCACATACAGTCTCTTTTATTCCCAATCCAGAAACATAGTACAGCCCACAGGGCGTTACAAAACAACCAATCACATCACAGTTACATCCTACATATTCCCTCCCCTTATCCTGAGAGGAAACTCAATTATACATACAGTTAAAACATACTTTCTACCCAACTTTCATAACTCCAAAACCATACATCACATTCACATAAAATTACATATTCACAATCAATCCATTCAGGGGAACAACATATTCAAAATGGCACAAATCAGACAAGGGGTTCAAAAGTTAGTAAAAAGTCCTTTGTGACTAAATGAAGCATGGCTTTCTGGCCCAAACCAGTTTCAGAGTCTTCTATCCTGGAGATAAGTAATTCAATTATCTCCCAGGATAGACACAAGACTCCATTAAGCACATGGTTGCAAAAAGACACAAAACACTTAAAAATACATAAAGTCACATTTACACATAACACACAGACATTTCACATATCCCCAGATAGCTGGGATCTGAGTGCACATTATTAGATGAATGGCACCCAGATCACACAAATAAGCCTTTCTGCAGGGGAAATAAACGGTTTAACCTGCAGGGCCATAGTCCAAAGGGAGCAGGCGAGCTTCCAGGCTTCTCCAGTTCACAGTGGCGAGGTTGGTTTCGCCACACTTCTCCCCTTTACCAACTAGACTAACAGGGTATCTGACCTCCTGCCGGTCAGTGCCCTGGTTAGTCCAGCAACCCACCCACAAAACAGAAACAGCAGTACAGCCTACCCACAATAACTGGTTACTACACCTGGGTAGAGGAGAACTTTGTCCATGTCCAGGTGCCTCACCACGACTGTGTGGGCAACTGTTAGGCTGCCTTGGTGGGTTGCTGAGTGGGAAGAGACCAGCGGTACTCTGCCCTGATGCCAGTGCTACCACGGACGTAGCCTGGTGGGAGCCTGGTTGTGGGAGGGAGAGACCGACTGTCTCCCCTCTGGATACACCGCTCTGTGGCTGGGGAACAGGACCGACTGTCCCTATCCCTTGTGCTGTAAGTGCAGAGACTACAGTCCCATCTGCACTGTTGTGGGGTGTAACATCTCCCCTTGCTGGGTTAGGCTGC